AATCCTAGCTACTCAGGAGGCTGATATCTGAGGATTGTGGTTTGAAGCTAGATCAGTCTGGAAGTCTGTTGTGAGACTTTTTTTTTTTTTTTTGCCGGTAGTGGGGCCTGAACCCTGGGTGCTGTCCCTCAGCTCTTCAGCTCAAGGCTAGTACTCTACCACCACTTGAGCCACAGCGCCACTTCTGGCTTTTTCTGCTTATGTGGTGCTGAGGAATCAAACCCAGGGCCTCATGCATGCAAGGCAAACACCCTACCACTGAGCTACCTTCCCAGCCCTGTTGTGAGACTCTTATCTCCAATAAACTACTCAGAAAAAGCTGAAAGTGTTTTGTGGCTCAAGTGGTTAAGAGTGCTAGCCTTGAGGATAAGAATTTGAGTTCAAGCCGGCGCTGGTGGCTCACGCCTGTAATCCTAGCTACTCAGGAGGCTGAGATCTGAGGATCGCGGTTCAAAGCCAGTCCGGGCAAGAAAGACCGACAAAAAAAAAAAAAAAAAAAGAGTATCATGGTCTTTTCTGCCTGAACTAGCTTTGAACTATGATCCTTAGACCTTAGCCTCCTGGGTAGCTAGGATTACAGGCACAAGTCACCAACACTTGGCTCATACTGTCCTAAAAACAGGACAGTTCACAGAAGATAGAAACGTAAGTAAGTAGTGCTTGCATAAATTCAAGAAGGGGGTGTAGGGGTCGGGGGGGGGGAGTGTAGTTGTGGAGATGGGAGGGCAGGGATGGTAGGGGAAAAACAAAGGAGGAGGCAACAATGCTTGGTAAGAAATGTACTCATTACCTTGCTCATGTAATTGTAACCCTCTGTATGGTATTTTCACAATAAAAAAACTTACTAAAAAAAAAGGGGGTGTACCCCTGTGGTACTGCACTTGTTAGGCCTTGGGCTACACACCTAATACCACTACCAAATAAACATATAAAGACAGATATATGAATGAGAATCAGAATCTGTCCTTACTTTTTTTTATTTTTGGGGGTCCGGCCATGGGGCCTGAACTCTGGGCCTGGGCACTGTCCCTCAGTTCTTTACCTCAAGGCTAGCGCTCTACCATTGGAGCCACAGTGCCACTTCCGGCTTCTTTTTTTTTTTCTGCTTATGTGGTGCTGAGGAATTGAACCCAGGGCCTCATGCATGCAAGGCAAGCGCTCTACCACTGAGCCACCTTCCCAGCCCCTGTCCTTACTTTTATAACATATTCCTTGGCCTCAGCCAGCAGCTTGTTCTTGAGTTCTTTGGCCATTTGCACATATAGGAACTGCTGTAACGCTCGCTCAATGGCCATGGTGCGTTGCCGGTTCCACTCTTGTACCTGGTGACTGAACTCATCTCGGTAGTAAAATTGCTTGATCTCTTCAAAATACGTCTGGTCATTGCCATAGCTGAGAAGAGATACAGAGCTGTGGTGTCAGGGACGGAGAAAAAGTAACACCCAGATTTCCATGAAAACCATGAGACAGCCAGGGTTAGTGGCTTGCTCAACTCTAAAATGGTAGTTCACATTCCTAAGATATTGTTTCCCTCCATCAATCTTTCCCAAAGATCTTTTAGAAGCCTAGCTCTGCTTACCCTTCAACTCCCTTCATATCTATGCTGATGTCAATGGTGAGTAGTCCTTCATCTTCAGCCAGGCCTATCTTCAGGAACTGGTCATCTCTCAGTTCTTTAACAGGCTTATTCTTTAAGTATTTAAAGGAATAGGCATAGTGGGCCTCATCCACATCCTGTACACATCAAGAGGGAATCATCAGTCTATGGTAGGCAGGGCTTGGCTCTGGGGGAAAAGGCTAACTTTGGGCTCCAGGCAGACAGCTCAACTAGTAGAAGGTACAAGATTCAGTTCAATCTAACAGCAAGGCCATATCCTGCATCAAAGTCCTTTACCCAGCTCACCTTTCTACCTTTCTTGGTAGGAGTTATATTTAGCTTGGCTCTCTCCTGGAAGGTCTGCCTCAGCACCTGTCGAACAAGGGGTTCCCGGGCGATCTGTAATGCTACCATGTAGCGGGCACCTTCTAGCACAGCTTCTGGAGTGGGGAACTGGCTGTGAGGAAAACAGCAGAGCTGTAGGATGATAGTGTCTTGGACCTCAGCCCCCTTCTCCTGCCAGATACCCGCTGCATGCCTACCTGCAAACATAATCCTTGGCCAGCTCTAAGGGTTCAGCAGGGAATTGCTCTGTCTCATGCCGCTGATAGCTGTCCCGGAGGTTCTCCCCAAACTGCTCAGGAGTAAGCCCAAACTTTTTGGCCAAGCCATCTAAAGAAAAATTGAGTGAAAAGTAAGGTAGAGGATGGGTTCTTAGTCTAGAGTAGCAGCTTTGGACTTAAAATGGACATGAAAGCTGGGCACTGGTGGCTCATTCCTGTAATCCTAGCTACTCAGGAGGCTGAGATCTGAGGATCAAGGTTGAAAGCCAGCCTGGGCAGAAAAGTCCGTGAGACTCTTTTTTTGTTTTTTGTTTTTTTTTGGGTCCAGTCATGGGGCCTGAACTCTGGGCCTGGGCGCTGTCCCTCAGCTCTTCAGCTCAAGGCAAGCG